GGTTATGTGGTCTGGATGGAGATACTAGCGAGGATGGGGCAGGGGAAAAGGGGAGGCTGTCGGAGCAAGATCACTCGACGTTGGTCACCGGGGCGGGGTTCAAAACATCGTCCCTTCTGGAGGCTGGATCAACTTCCTTCCCGCCCGTAACATCTCCCTACCAAAACACACATATTCCTCGATTGAGTTTATCTTCTGGATGTCTCGCTAGGTAGAGAGGGAGAGACGAGAGACCTACCTTCGTAGTTCGACTAGCACCGTTTCGAGCGTGTAGTTCCGCTTCCATCCAGATAGCACTGGAAACTTCGACGGCTCAACCTGTCATTTATCCGTTCAACCATATAAAAAACATTCAGGTCCTGGATGAATGCGTTTTGGGTTTGTGGGGTGCTGTTGTTAAGCAAGAAGAAGAAGAAGAAGAGAGAGTAGATACAGACTTCTCCGGTGGTTTGATTGACACATGGCAGATTGATCTTCGTCAAGAAGAATATCGTCGGGGGGAAATCTGGATACGAGTCTCCACAGGTTATCTTGATATCGTAAATCCTGTTCTCATGAAAGCTCTACTCGAAAAATAAGCGTCAATTTGATGTTATAATTCAAAGGTGTAGATAGACATCAGTATTCCTGTCTGTTTTTTTAGGGGAAAGTGGGATTTGAAAAAGAAAGGGAGAGAAACTTAACATTGCTGGGGCCGATGATTGTTCCGTTCCATTTGGTCATCGTGATGTCGTCTCCGTCTGCTAAGCCATACGAACACGTCCCATCGCCGAGTCCTTTTTCGCCCTTCTCTAACTATCCAACCATCATCATCATCATCATCATCATCCACATCCAACAAAACAAAACGATGGATCAATCCCCTAGCAGCACTTTCTTGTAGATATGAAGAGAAAAAGGGGGGGAAGGTTTCGAGCTTTGTATCATACACAGAAAAGTGAGGCTCAACTTCTTCCAACAACCTGAAATTTCGTGGAACTGGTTCAAGTCAAAAGAGAGAACGAGAGACCAAGGAAGTGAGAGAGAGAGAGCAATGGTGGGAGATCAGCCTTCGTCGGCTTGCCTGCCCAAACAATACGATGAGGAGACGTGAGTTTGAACGGACCTTGAGCGCCGGCCATCGAAGCTGTATTCCGCTTGAGTCCAACACCCTGTTCTGTTTACTTCGATCGGTCGACCGAGTTCTGTGTTTTCTTGTTGGAGGTAGTGATGGTGGATGGATGTTTTTTTGTTTTTGTTTTTGGTTTGTTTGGAATGGTTATGATCGAGATCGGGGGGAGTTTGCTTCCCTTTATCTACATTCTTCCCACGGGGGGCTTCACTGAGAATGTAGATAACTCGCCGAAAACCCCTGCCGTTTCTTTATCATCCAGCAGCATTTTATCAAGTTATAGATAGATCATTAGATTTGCAAGATCAAAACGATGAGAGATGACTGGCAGACCTTTTATTTTGATGGCCAATCAACAACACCCAACAAATCAAAATCCTCACTGGGAAAAAAAATACCATCAACCATGTATGTATGTTGTCAAAAAACAAAATACTTTTCATAAGACAGCCCATAGAGGTACTAGATTTAATGGGGAAAGATTGTGAGATTGTAAAAGGCATAGAAAATTCATAGAAAAATCCGGTTAAGTTTGGAATCAATTCTAGTATCTATCTATGATCTAGTACATAGCAAGGGTATAATCAGATATGAAGACTTTTGATTGAAAAAAAAAAATTTGATCACTGATCAGGACAATCATTTCATCAAAATGTCTTACTTTCAAATAATCCTTCCCCTCCCACCCCCCGACCCCAAAATAAAGAGAAAAGAACAATAAGTCAATCAGCAATTCCTTATGACTTTCTCTTCATATATCCATCCCTTCTTGCAAGACTTTTCCAAATATTTAATGAGCAGGTCAAGGGAAGTCAAAAAAAGAGTTTTGAATGAGAGACCAGACAACATGTTTCAAATAATAATTCTTCTTCTTCTCCTTGTTAATAATTTTCTTTTGGCAATATTGACAAGAAGAATTTTAGATCAAGGCTCCTTGGATGTCAACTATTGATTACAGAGAGAGAGAGAGAGAAAGGGGATGAAACGGAGCAGGACTCTTTCCTTACCCCTCTTCAAAATCCTATCTTTCTCAAAGGGTTAAGGATCCAGTTTATCTTTGACAATCTGTGAGCAGTTGTTCACGAGACACTCCTCTAATCTCTACTTTTTGTGAAATGTATTCCGCCCGATTATTGATCGATTTTAATTTTTATGGCAAGATGGGTACGTATATCGGCTGTAAAGCAACTTAGTCAGACAGGCCCTCCAAATTTGCGATAGTTGATTGTATTTCGATGGCCATTGGAGTGCCTCTCAAGCGTTCATTCTGGATCCCTGCCAGTCAGTCAATCATATAAGGAGATGCATAATCTCGTCCTTCCAATTGGGCGTTGCGATATGATATGAT